TAATTAAAATATTACCAGTCCATTAACGATACGTAAGTCACGCTAAATTAATTGTGTTTGTAGGTGTTACAATTGTATAAAAATTACAAGAATACTAGCTGTACAACATGATGAGCTGTACATCATTACTCGATGTGAGGTACTGTGAAAACAATTACGCTCTCCAAAAAAAAAAAGAAAAATTTTTTAGGAAAAGCTCTAATGAAACCAGTTCCCATTCGATTCGGAATTATTCTATTCTCTAAAACAAATACTTTTGTTTAAAAAAAAAAAAATATATATATATATATTAGAGATCAATAGACATCTTGAAATCTCCAATCTCCTAAGAGATATAAATTTTCAGTATATCGAGGAATATCTCTTATGTTTGCGACCAGTTGCAAATTGATAAATTACAAGGAGAAACACACTATTCATATGGATATCTACTTCTTTGCTTGATTTCTCTGCGCTAAAAATTAATGCGCATCAGAGACAATGATAACTTAGTCTTTTGTCAACCAATAGCAAAAGGTTTATTAATCAGTATTTGAGAGACGATTTAATAATTTTTTCAACTTCCAAGATAATGGACGTTCGCAGCAATTGCAACAATTATACATCTTAAATTCAAAACACAATGGATTGGATGCTTGAATGGATGGAATGGATGGCTTGAATGATACCGCTCAATCGGAAGTTTATAAAGCTGTGACATACTGTCCGAATTGAAAGTACATCTCAACAAAGTACTACTACTTTTAATCAAAATACACAAGATGATTTTTTTTTTTGGAGATGAAATAATTTGGTTTCGCCATTGGTTTGAAAATTCTGATGCTGAAATAGAAGATATATACACGAGCCATGTACTGATAACATGTTCGCAATTAACGCATATTCAATTGTCAAGAAATTATTCATTAAATATAATAAATTATCTTCTTCTGCTCCAGTTGAACGTTTATTTTCATATGCATAATTTGCCACACTACAATAGACTAACAGATCAAAATTTTGAACGATATAATGATCACATAAATCGCGATAAGATTACAAGAATTAAGAAAATTTACTCAAAAATTTTAAAAGCCTGTTTTTTTAAATTTTATCTATAGTTTATGTTCTGCTCATATGAGTTCCACTTTGCGATTTTAGTCATATATGTACTACGTGTAGCGATTTACGTAAGACATTTGAAAATATGTGATATAGGAAGAGATAATAAACGACCAATGCACAGAAGTTGCGTGAGCATTGCGCGTATTTGCTAACGAAAATGATAACCTGTTTGTTTACACGAGGTCAATCGTCTTCTCCTCTTCTTTGACGGAAAACAAGGATATGCAACGTTGTGTAATAGAAAAAACAAATGCTCGTTTCTACGAATATAGTTTAATTTTAATCTAGGTTCAACTAACTCTTTATCTTTTTCTAATTCTAAAAATTAATTAATCTACATTAGTATAAAAACGAGCAAAAATCGTTTAATTAAAACCATGATAAAGAGAGAGAGAGAGAGAGAGAGAGAGAGAGAGAGAGAGAGAGAAAGAAAGAGAGAAAAAGAAAAGAAGTGATTAGAGCATGTAAATCTAATATAATATTTAAATTAGTTACAATTGTTGATAACGATAAAAAAAATACTATAATTGTTTTGATCCTTCAGCCTTATTGTCTTAATTGATATATAACATGATATATAAAAACTTGCGCGCGTGCGCGCGCGCGCGCGTTTAATTCCTATAAAAATTTATGCATGTGTATGATTAAAATATAATCATAACTTCGATTGTAACTCAATTAAATAAGCAATAAAAACTCAGGTTTATCTTTTCTAGATAAATAATGCAAATTTGCAGCCGAGAGGAACGTATTACACATATGTACTCGTATTTGAAAACTTCAACAAATTTAAAACAAAAAAGATATTCATGACATGCAAAAAAATCAATTTTTAATATCATTAATACGTTGCTTAATTTGACAGTTTGTACTTCATATTTCTGTTTCCACTGTATGTATGTATAGTGTGTCTCACAATTATCGTATTTCCTCTTGAGAACGTATTCTTGAGATAATTTTAAGACAAAAATCCTAATACAAAAATGTCGAGACTATAATAATTTTTAAATTAATCGCAATTAAAGTTAATTACAGAGCTGACATTTCGCGCACTCAGACATGATGATATGATAAATGATGAAGATACCCTCTTAACATGCAATTTTTCAGAAAGTTGTTTCTATTTCTGAAAATCTATTTTTAATTTTTAATTATGCATTTCAATTATGTGCATATAATTAATATCGGAAATATATCGTAAAACATCAATTCAAATAGCAAGATATTACGATATGTATTAGCTGTCAAAATAAATTCGTATCTACCCAGAAAACATGCATGCTAAAAGATATCCAAAAAACTCTTGAACTAAACGTCTTTAAGACTTTTCCAAAAGATACCTTTTAGACGTCTTTCAAACATTTTCAAAAGATGTCAGAAAATTATTCAAATTTTGGAGCAATTTTCATTATCGATTACAAATTTTATATATAATAATATCGAGTAGATAACATGGTCAAGTTGAATATAATACCTATAAAAGTATTGGATATCAATTAATTTGGCATTTCAATATTTTATTATATAAAATACATGTGTGTGTGTATATATATATATATATATATATATATATATATATATAAAATAATTATTATTATTATATTATAGTGTTCTACAACTACACAATTATGCGAAGCTCTCCGGAAACATGATGACAAGAGAAAAAATACGAAGCAGCAGTTGAGATTATCTGATAAATTATATATGAATGATATCATAATTAATATATATTTTCAATAACAATCTATTATTTGTCAGAATTATGAATCGTTATTGAAAATATGTATTAAGTATATCATTTACATATATCGATTACATATACGATTTATCAGTATAGGTAATTCTAACTTCTGCTTCGCATATTTCCTCTTGTCAAAGCGTTTCCGTATTAGTAATTTTATTTTTAGTTTTTAGATATCTGAAATCTTAAGGATAATGTTTGTAAGACGTCTTAAGGATAATGTCTTTAGAACGTCATAAATAGACGCATGACATCTTAAAAACATCATATAGATATCATTCTGATACTTCCAAAAAATATTTCATGAATTTTAGGATGTCTTTATGATGTCTTATAAGATGTTCTCTGAGTAGATGTTCATTTGTCTCATATGGTAAACATTTTTGTAGTAATATCAATAAACTGTTTTTGACATGAAATTAAATGTATTATTATTAAATTGTTTATTAATTTAATTTGTACTATTCCAGTTTTAAGAATGCGTTTCAAACAGTAATTATCAATGCGCAGTTTGTAGAACTGAAAATTGTATTTTTTAAACTAACATAAAAATATTATTAGGCACCAAGATCCATCTATTTTAATGTAATCTATATCAATTTTCATATTTCTAATATTATTAAAAGTTCTACTATAATTATTATGAAATATGAATATCGTAATTTGATATAAGTTTATTACAGCCACAGACTTATATAAACTGCTATAAATAGACTGCTAACTCAATGTGACAGAAAGAGATGAACCTGATTCCGAGCTGTCCTTATTTTAATTCCCATATGCGTATGTGTGCGTCCTGTCTGTGAATATCATGTAAATTTATTCAAGTAATTTATACATGTGTGAGAGAATGGTGCTGTCCTGCGCTGTCTTCATGGAGACGAAGTTGACAATTTATAGAAGTCTGTAATTACAACTAAATAGTTAATAATACTTAATTATTTAATTTAGTTATTTAAATTAAAAGACACTATTTGTACAGAGAAAAAAGATTTTATTTACTGTAATAATGTGTGTAAATTCAAAAAGAGTAACTATAACAAATGTTCAAATTGCGCATTATCCATAGCAATACATAATCTTGCTCGCCGAAGCAAATTTTGTCCAACATTGTATATCATTTCTGTCGTTAAAATCGCCAAAGCTTTTATAATTATAAATAATAAATATAATTAATATAATTATGTGAATGTCAGTTTTGTGATTAGCGAACTTTAATTGCGATTAATTTAAAAACTATTCTAATCTCAACATTTTTATATTAGGATTTTCATCTTAAAATTATCTCAAGAATACATCCTTAAGAAGAAATTAAATTTCTTTGCCATATTTTAACGGCGACATTTCAAACGATCAAATTATCTGGGAAAAAAAGAATTAGATCTGTCGAGATATAACCATATCTGTTTCAACACATTTGATCAGATCTACAAATCGTCTTTATTTGGCCAAATCTGAATAGATATAACCAGCTGTGATTCCGGTAAATTTTTCATATAATATTAATATTAATTAATATAATATTAATTAATTCAATTTTATTGCTAAAAAAATTATTTGTGAGTGTGTGTGTGTGTGTGTGTGTGTGATTAGCATCATATTCCACAATACTTACATAAGATAAAATTATAATTAAAAAAAAAAACGTTTTCGCGTTTGAATTCGAGAATTAATTTTATGGTGCTTTCAAGCAGTCATCCATCTTAAGCTATACACCTAGCGCTGCTTGGCGAACGTACAGAAATTGTTACTTTGATGATTCACAAACACTAAATGTTAATATATATGTATAGGTGTGACAAATCTGGTCAATAGATGATGTACACTCTATATAAGGTTACATATATGACCAGATATGAGATCAGATTATGCCCCACATATAATTATATATAAACATACATACAGTCAGATTTGCGCAGATATGAGAAGTCATATCTGAGCATATCTGATCATATATAACTTAATTTACCGAGATATAATTTTTCTGGTCTAATCTTTTTTTCCCGGGCAGAAGTATCCTGCATAACAGAGATAACATCTGAAAAAATTAAAAAAAAACAAAGAAAGTTCTTTTCCTTATATTTAATTCGGCACTGTCCAACATTAGGTTTTAAATTCGAAATTACATCTATCCTCTTTGCACAAGTACACGTACTCTCGTAGTTGGCATGTTGCTACTATTATTGCTGTTGCTGCTGCTGCTGCTGCTGCTGCTGCTGCTGAGCTAAACTGAAAATTCCACTTATGTCTTATCAATGATGACGAGCCAGAGACAACTTCAGGCGAGAAATGAAAAAGGCGCGCGCGCGCACACACATACACACATGTGTGCACATATACTTTTGTTTACTGCAGGTATCTTACAAATGCTTTAGCGTAAAGTGATGTCTATAATAAAATTTTAAGGCGTAAAACTTAATCTTTAAACTATAAGCCGTAAGAAATTAACCAAATCATAATCATTGTTTTCACATGACTGTGATTGGTCAATTAAGGTTTAAAGCTTAAGTTTTATACCTTAAAATGTCATTGTAGACGCCGCTTAAAAGGCATGTGCCATGCAGAAGCAATGGATAATGAGAATGTGATAGCACTCAGCGGTGCGATTGCTACACAACGTCACAAGTAATCATGAGGAGACTGAATGTTAAGTGCTGATAGGCAGAGAGAGAGAAAGAGAGAGAGAGAGAGAGAGAGAGGGGGAGAGGGGAGAGAGAGAGAGAGAGTTTTATCTCAATTTGCTCATTAATCTCGTTTTGCTCGTTGTTCCATGTCGAGTTGGCATCTTTTACTTTTTTGTTTCTTTGTTCATCTTTTTTCTCTACATTTTATTTTCTTGATTATTTATAATAGAATTAAATTTCATATCAACAATATTAATAGTTTGAACAACAACAAGGATGACACAAAAAGATTTTTTAACTATTTTTTAACTTTTTTACTATTCCATATGGCAATACAATATCTGAAAGAGTTACACCTATCGTTAATATGTTTAATTGTAAATTGGCTTTTACCATTCCTAACACATTAAAAAATTTCATAAAGAAAGGAAAGGATGAGCTGGAACACTTTCATAATCAAAATGTATAATATTTTACAGAATATCTTGTGAGGATTGTGATGTTAGTTACGTTGCCTAGATAAAAAGACAGTTAAAGACTGCACGAACATGTTTCAGATATTATATAAGTTCAAAATCTTTATCAGTGATTTCCAACCACCACATATAGAGGAGAATCACAACTTGAAATAAGATAAAGTGGACATATTAGAGACTTCATACAATAAAAAGTTAATATCTGAAATGATTCATATTAAAAAACAGAAACATGGAATAAACAGATAAAATGACACAATTTTTGCCTGAATTGTATTCTAACATTATACATTCTCTTTCTCCCTCCTAATATTTTTTTTTCCCTTGTTTTGCCGTTTTTCCGTTCTCGATAAATGTTTTCCTTCTCGACATTGCGTTATCTGACGTCGTGGAAGTTAAATGTTCATTACTCTTGTAAATTTGCTTCAATTAAAAAATCAATATATTGTACCACGACATGGATTACCATCTACCTACGTTTTTTTCTCTCTTTTTATTGGACTCTCAACACATTTATCGATATTACTGACAAGATACAATATTATATTACTAATTTGTATGTATTAAGTATTAATTTTTTTGTTCACAATCACTTTTCTAGAATATTGTTTTCTGACTACTTTGATTTTCGATATAAATGACTAGCAGTGTACTACACAAAATGAATACGGGATTAAAAATTATAATGAGTTTTGCAATACCATGTATATTTTTGATTTATAGCGATGTTTAAATATTACGACAACATTGAAAATGACTTGAGTGGAGTCGAAAGTTCGTTTTTGTCAATTGTAATTGTTATTATAAATTTTATGATTTAACTTAAATTAAAGTTCTTTGTTACCTTACTGGCTCTTTGCCTTTCTTTTGACTACATTGTTTTATACTTACGAAGCCTTATTATTATTTATTAATTTTTTCTTGTCCTTTAATTACCATAACATTGTTTCTCTTATTTTCATTTTCACATAAAAATGAATTTTCGGTGCAAAAATGAAAATAAAAAAAACAATCTCCAGTAACCTTGAGCTTAACAATTGTTATTCAGGACATGATCTTGAACAACATTCAAGAAGTTTAACTGTCGGTTGAACACCTTGCATAATGCTAATGTCGGCAGTACTGTAACTTTCAAGCTTTATAACTCGCACTTAATGAAAATGAACTTAATTATAGTGTTTTGGAGTTTTGGAAAGCTCTCGAGATAAGCTACAAGAATATATAATGAAAAAGGGAAGATTCCATTTAAAAAATTCATTGACCCTGACCTGACCTTGACAACGTCATCCTAGATTAAATAACTACTATCGTTGAATGCGTTTTTTTAAGCCTTACAACTTTTGTAAGAAACATTTTAAATAAAAACAAGTTAGATAAAACAAAATAAGATTGCTTTAAAACATTTGTAAAAATGGACGACAACTATGCTTATTCCTCCTGATAGTCAATAAATAATCGTGATAAAAAGTGATAAAAGGCACAGTAAGTGTTTTCATTCAATGCGTATGCGTAGCTTCTTTTCACTTACACGCGTTTTTTATCACTTTTTACAGAATTGTGAGACAAGCTATGTATATTGCTATATCACAATGTAATATTGCAATAATTTTATTGAAATATTACAATATGATATATTATTCTACAATATTACTACAATATCACTTAAATATTGCAGTACGACATACCGCAAAGCAATATTATCGCAATATCGTTCAATTATTGCATTACACTTTATTGCAATATTATTGCAATAGCATTGAAATGTTACAATGCATTTTATTGCAGTCATCTTTCTAAGATAAATAATACTACGTTTTTTATTTTTATTATTGAATAAATATTAAATATTAAATGTAAAAAAATTAGGAATATAGATTGAACATAACTCACAATGAATACAAATAAGCTGTATTGTGTCTTATATCTTATTTATATCTATTGTAGTTCTATTTAATATTCATTCACAATTTTTTTATTTCTTCAATATTCAATATTTTTCTCCTGTTCTTAATTTTTTTTATTATGCGGGACCAAATAATACATCATTGAAATACATATACAAGTCGGTATACCAACATTCGCCGTTCAAAATATAATATAATAGTGACGAAGGTTTAAAAAAATTAAGTAAAACGTGTATTAATGAATTATTATTTTTAACAATAATCTTTGAAATATAAGGGTTGAAATATGATTATATCTACATATAGTACGAAAGTATACTTACAGTACGAAATATTGTAGTAATATTTTAATAGTGCGCAATATTATAAAAATTGCAACAATAATGCTGTAATATTGAAAATTTTTTCATTTTATTGAATATATTATAATAGTATTGAAAAATATTTTGTAGAAAATATTGCAATATGTTGTTGCAAAATTACAATTCAATAAATAAGTATACGGTCCCGCCACGAAAGGGACGCTTTTCTTAAAGAGAAAATGTCCAGAAGGACATTCTATAAGAAGGAATACGAGTATTCTTTATAAGTCGAGTAGGCGAGTGAAATTAAAATTACAATATTTTGCAAGATTGAAGCAATATTTCCAATAAAATATTATAATTTCAATAGTACAGTAATATCGCTGCAATTTTTGTAATACTGTGCATTATTGAAATATTACAATATTGCTACAATATTTCATGCTGAAAATAAGTACGCGGCCTAGCCACAAGAGAAATACGCTCGTAAGAAGGAAATATCCAGCAGTTCTATAAAAAGGAATACGCAAATCGAGTTGGCATGTCTTCTGGAGATTCCCTTTTTTGGGAGTGCTTTTTAGAGAGTGTTTCCAAATGTTCTTTATCGTGACTTTAGAGTGTAATATTATTACAATACATAGAAATACTATCGCAATATTGCAAAATATTAGCATAATATGTAAAAATATTGCTTGATATTACAAAAATGTCGCAAAAATATTACTTAATACAATGAATTTGCCGCGGATATTTAATATTGCAGCAATATTTATACAATATTATTGACATATTACTATATGATATTATACAGCAAATTTATAATGTTACTACAAGATTACTACAATATTACATGCTGTGTGAGATATGATTATTTTATAACAGTATTTTAGACAGTAACGATCATCTCTATCGCATTTGCTTACACACCAATCTCTATGTTATATATTGACTTGATCTTATTTTATTACATTTTATTATATACTATGACTACACAACACATTTTCGCTTATAAAGGTATCAATTTTATATTTATTATATCCACATTTCTCTTTTTTACACTTTATATTTAAAATTCCATGAACTTAATTTATTTTTTATTTTGCTTAATACATTTCTGTATATTAACAGATCTTTCCATTATTTTATTCGATTGACTACTTATAAGATTACCGATTATGAACTATGTATTGGCGTTACCATATTATGTCATCAAATCTTGTACTGCAATTCTTCAGAAATTGTGACTAACAATGAAATGTTATATGCGAGATTTTTACATCGAATCATTCTTTCGGATTATATCTTTATCGAAGTCTGTATAATAATGTATTTTTTATGATTTTTGAGCATGGCTATTACCGTTATATTTTAATTATAATTAAACGTGTAAATGACGTGCGCGTTATAATCACAGTATAATCATAGCGACAATAAACGTTGGCACCTTTGATGTAAGTGTCCTTAGGTCACATGATTCACCGCCAATGTTATGAAATGTATACAATAGAGTTATGATAGAACAGGCTCTTAAATTTGAATTTTTATTAAGCTTCTAATATGTCCGCCATATTCCTAAGTGTACAAACCGATACATGCGCACTAAAAATTACAAATCACAATAAAGTTCACTGTTGCTACTGGGTATAATTATACTGTTATAATTTCGACGTAAATCGAGCCGTATAGATTAAAAGAATAAAGCAAAAATATGGAAATAAAAAAGCGCGAAAGTTGAAAAATTCGATAGTTTTTCAAATTAATGAGAGAACAGCAGAGAAGTAATGAAAAGTTTAGATGAAAAAAGATTTCGAGCAGATGACAATTTAAAATCGTCTATAAACGAAAAAAGTTACACTAAAGGAAATGCAAACTAGATTTAGGACACTGAGGCATAAGTAAAAATATATTTTATAGGAAATAAATAAATTTGTTGGTTATACATGCTTTTGATTTATTGAATGATAATTTTGTAATAATGTTATTTGCCGTTTTTAATTCAATAACAAAATTCGAAGAGACAAATGAGAAAAAATAGATCTGGCAATTACATGTTCTCATTTTCGTATAAATAAGCTAACATGTTACAACGTTATAATGAGTCAACATGATATAATGAGAAATATAATACCAACGTTCCTGAATGTGTAAACGCGACTTGCTTAAGTAGGAGTTATAACATCAGCGTCACTAAGTCGAAGTTATGATGACGTGTAAACATAATCTATAATGATCATAGCTAAGACTTTTCTATAAGGCGTATAAAGTATTAGAAAATCAACCAATTAAAATTTCTGTTCCATAACATGAGAGTAAAGGATTCTGATTGGTTGGTTCGCTTATGCATTATGTATTCTGCCTTATGCAATAGTCTGTGCTGCTGCCTAATGACCACATCACAGACTCTTGCATAAAGCGTAATGCATAGTGCATAAGGGAATCAACCAATCGAAATTCTTCTTTTTTATGGAATGGGGGAAAAAAGGAAAGATTCTGATTAGTTGATTCGCTTGTACTATGCATTATGCAACAGTTTGTGC